GGGGGGGCATTTTGCACTTTAACGACTTCCCATCGACGTGTCGACCCATCTAGACAGCCTCTTCTCGAGTTGACAGGTTTTACCATGATGGCTTGACGAGCTTGCTCCAGCTTCACAAGAGTTCACAGGTTTCACCAGAGTGAGACTTGTAAACCAGAACTAGTGAAGCAACGAAAGTGCAAAATGCCCCCCCCCGTCGGCAAACTGCGCCCAGTCATACATTTGCTCGCTTTAATAACTGGTGGAGAACGGGTTTGACGCCGCGCCAAACTCATCCCACCTGACACGCCCAACCGTCCGCAGCGAACTACACTATAAGTCGTTGTTGAGCACTCAAAGCAAAGGAAAATCATGACCAACAACTCCCACTTAGCTAATATATTTCTGGCCCATATGTTCCCGAATCTCCTCATTTCCAGGCTTTATTGAGCATGTGAAAATCTCTGACTCTACTAGCTTATTCTATCGAAGGACCACTCGAATCACTAATTGTATTGACGGACTACCTTGAATTGAGAAACCTTCATCTGAGAAGGAGGACGACCTCCTTCTCAGATGAAGGCCTGCCAACTCAAGGTGCTCCATATACAGTCGTCATCCTTGCACTTGATAGGGGCGTGTCGGCGAGAAGGAGCGTGCACACTGTTTGAAGCCTTCTCAGCCTTTTCGTTGAAACGCGTATGCGACAAAAAGTGATAGAAAACGAGTAACACGAAGGATATAATACAGTAATGTCACTTCCTGGTTCAACGATTGGTTTTTTTGTGTATGGGCAGGCTACGGGTGCGCGACCGCGCCGCAGCGCAGGCAGCGCAGTGACATGACTATTCAAGTGCCCCAGGATGAGACGAGCTGTAACCTTTATTTCTGTTGAGGCCGAATGTACTGTCTCCAAACCTTATGATTAACATTTTCTGCTGGGGGTATTTCCTGTCAACAGAAGTAATTTCCAGTCAACAATTCTCCATTCAATAATTCACTAATGCATTCTGGATTTATCGATATCATTTATTATTACCTCACGCTGAAAGAATTCTGAGAGTGGACTTCTTGTGAGGAGTTTTCATTTTATTTACCTATTATATTTGACGTTGTTACAAAAGTGTAGTCCTTCGCCATTCCGCTGACGCCATGCCAAGACGCTCGAAATAAGCGCAAATGACGCTATTGTCACGCTGTGTGGAGTGCTACTGTGAAGTAGTGAAGCCTAGACTGCTTCTTAGCTTTTCCAAACTTGATGCAGAAGTCCACGGGAGGTTAAAGAAGGGGAGCTCGCCTAAAATCTTGTTGTAATTCCAAGTGATAGAAAAAAGGTGGACACTTCTTTGGAGAAAGCGCATTGTTCTACGAGATCGCACTGCTAGAATAAGCAGACTAAGGTCGTTCTTCGCATTCCCCCCGGCCAGCGACCAAATAGGCGTCCCATTAGCGCTCACAACGACCGAGCGTCCGGCAGGTCAGCGACTAGGAATATCTAGATATCGATCTAGCGTGTCCGCGCCCACCAGCGTCTACCAGTCTCACCAGCGACCAGCAGCAGACGGCTGGTAGAGAGTATGGTGCGTTAGGAGGGTACCAGCTGTCTGTTTCCCTCGTATCCCCCTTTACTCTACCAGCTGTGTGCCAACCTCTATCGCGCCATACTCTCCACTCACGGACGGCTAGACGCTGGCGAACGGTGGTAGACGCTGGTGGACGCTGGCAGACGCTAAATCGAATCTATACTTTCCCAGTCGCTGACGCTGACGAACACTCTGAACGCTTGTGGACGCTATTGCTAGCTGGTAGACGCCGCAGCAAAGTATGAACGCGCACTAAGCTAGTGTTCAGACCTCGCGATGACGAGCGTCGTCGCGCTAGCACTGCAATGGCAATCCAGTGCTGTAGACGGGAACGTACGTCCATCGCAGGCGGGTGTCGCGGTTTGTGTTTTGAGATAGTATACATAGGATAACAAGAGGGTAGGACCTCTATACAGTCTGGTACCTTCCTATTTTTCTGTACTCTCTCAAAACTCAAGCAGCCGGCGCCGATCGATGCCCGTGTGCGGCAGCCCTTTCGTCAATTGCACTGAATCCCCATTGCAGTGGAAGCGCGTCGACGCTCGTCGTCGCAAAGTCTGAATGCTACCTGAGGGAAAGTTTTGCTATCTTCATCTTTTAGAAGGCCACCCGGGCCACCAAGGAAAATGTGCAGAATGTCCACTTCTGTAGAAGTCTCTCTGAAACATCCACACAGACAATAGTATCGAATTGTTAGCAGTGGAAATCGTGGTTCAGTGAACGGATGTGTATCTATATGGATATGTAGCTTGAAAAGTCGCCGTTTTCAGACAGTTCTGAAGCAGTTGCTTGTTTTGATGGAGCAGTTCGGCTTGATGGGGGCATCAAGTAGTACTCAGCAAAGCTTGGACAGGCCTTGTTGTCAAAAACTGTAAAGTTAGGTGACCGAACTGGTTCGCCCCCACCGTTTCGCAGCTTCACAAAAGTTCAGAAGTCTTACCCTTGCCAAAATAGAACTTGTTGGCTAACATGAAATAGCGAAATTAACCAGCGGAAGTGCAAAATGCCCCTCCAAGCCGAACATTCCCATCTTCGATAATTCGGAACCTATTATCTATGGCGTTATTTGAGCGTGTCAAAAAAATGCCTTATTCCGAAATTTTGCTTCGAGGTGGTGCGGAAATGGATGAGACCCCCCCCCATCCCCCAGTATCGGAAGCGACATTGGATTTGTACCACTTGGTCATGCTGGAGGTCATATTGTGCTCATGGTTTTTTTTAGGAGAGAACTTCTAGAATGGTGCGACATTAATGAAACAGTAAAAATAGATGGGGATCGTGTGGCAATTGGACAGGAGTCTAATTGCAGTTTGTATGAACCTAAGAAAGAGGATAGCATAAGGTAATGCATTAGCACACATTTATCACCCGGGATGGCTGTGTTCACGACTTAGTTGTGGGCCTGGCGGTGGCTGCGCATTTGTGGACAGTTGCAGGATCAGGTAGAGAAGGACCAAGAATTAGCAACTGTTCAAAGGTGCACAGTCGGTGCAGCTCTCACAGCTATATTTACTTATTTCATAAACACGACCTCTCTGCAGCTACCGTAATCTGGCTCGTACTCAATGATATTACAAATGAACGTATCCGTTACTGCATGATTCGGAAGTACGACCCGTCCTGTAGAACACGTGCCGCTCTCTTCGCGCTCATTGGCGGGTCGGGGGGGGGGCATACTGCCTTTCCACTACTTCCCATCGTCGTGTCAAGTCATCAGGTGAAGATTTGTGGAATCTTTTGAAGCCGTGCGTCAACTCTTGTGAAAAATGTCTGTCAACTTTTGTAGAACAGTGAAAACGACAACGGGAAGCAGCGGCCCGCAAAGTGCGGCCGATCTGCGCCGATATCTTGTGCACTACTATATTGATGATTAAAATAGTCTGAATTCTACCCAAAGGAGTTCAGTAACATTCAGAGTATACCTTTCATGTGATCCTCAGTTTGCTCAGCCAACTGTAGTGATATTTCTTGGTCAGCCGATGTCGAAAAAATCGTGAGTTAACATGTGTTCTATCAGTATACGATTGAAATTCGAAACTCGAAGAAATGAAGCTGCTCAACGAAATCAACGATTTCGGGGGGGGGGAGGGGGAAACGGAGAGACATGATCTGAGAGCACAGCCAGGCGGGGGGGGGAGGGAGAGGGGCGTTGAAGCGCGGCTGCAGGCTCGTTCAAACGTGCCTTAGGATGCCTTTTTATGGAGCTTTCCCATGAGAAAACGACGGGACTATCTCACAAAACCGGGCCCTGGGCCACTTTCGAAAAAAATACGCTACTCTACCCTCTCCATCTCCAGGATATGGAATGTACGACATTCTTCGCTGCGGACGCTGAGGCTTGTCAGAGGGCTGGAATTGGCGCGAGCCAGCCAGTCTACGGCCAATTGTGCCAGCCAGCTTCTACAGTTGGTGGAGAACGGCCGGCGCATCGCCAGCCCAGCCCCTTTGCCACGCCCAAGCATCCGCAGCGATAACGTAACTGTAACTATCGTAACACATTGCAACAGCTATCACTCCCTCTCGAACTCAGCTAGCCTCCAGCTTTTCGAGCAACTCTACAAAAAAATTCAAGGGCATGGCCCACACCAGTTGAAGGGCGTCACAGTTTTGTTCACTGCTGGGACGTGCAGAGGCTCGGACTAGCGCGGCGTAATCCCGTTCCCCACCAACTGTTGCGCAGGGGGAGCGGCAACAAATGGTGGAAAACGGGCTGGCGCCGCGTCAAGCCCAGTTGCCGTGACAGCGAACAAGATTGTACCTTTTTGAGAGTTATTTGGCGCGACGGAGTTGAACAAAATCTCTTTATTTCAGATACTTTCCTTTCGCATTAGCATTTGCCTGCGGATGGAGTTTATCGCTAATAATGACATCAACGGTGCGTTGTTCTTCAGTTTTGAACTCCAAGTCGTTATTAGTCGGAACATTACGTTTTCTGTATGAAGTAAAGTGTTCCGTGCAGTGCCTTCCAATTTTAAAGTTCCAGCGTGACTGATCTATCCCTGTAGAATCACATGAAAGCTAAAGAAAAGAGCGGTACGGATAAATGCTCCCACTGACCAGGAAAGGTCAACAGGTCAGCCTGGCCATTTGCAATGAGATGCACATCACTGTACTCATCTTGACACGGTGAACTCAGAACTGTCTTCAAAATTTGCAGAACGATTCTCTGAGCGGAGTTATGGAGGGTTTTATCCCCGCATGGTCGTTTCACATGCTATCGCGAGGAAACGTGGAAGCGTCTTTACATTTATGTATGGAGTCATGCTGAAACGTGGTAGTAGAGCGCAACGGGTAGGGAGCGGGTTTCTTAGGCGAGACGTCGTAGGATCGGTTCCGGGGCAGATCGCTTTTTTGCATTTGTCAAAGGACATAGCCGACAAAGC